TTCCGCCGTTGCCCGAAAACGATACACATTCTCACTGTTGAGGAAGTTCCCGATTGTACGTCGTACCACAGCATCCGTAAAGTTGCTGATTTTGTAACGTCGTTTTTCCCACCCTGTGATAAAGCCAGTCAGAAAATAGGAAGAGAGGAGAGTGCAGTTAGTTTCATGATACTAGCGAGGTGTGACACAGATGCCTAAGCTTTCACTATAGAATCCATAATCGAATCACTGTTCATCTTTGACAGAAACAAACGAGGTAACAAGTCAGATCAAATGAGACTGCATATTCATAGTTTTAAATTAACCGCGAGCTATGAACATTGCTCCCCCAACTGCGAGAAGACATGAGTGGACAAAATATTTCGTTCATAAATCCGTAAAGTCTGTTTGGCTTGTAACAAATTCGCAAAATAAGAATGGGGAATCACATTTTCATTCACAGTCACATATGTGTGACGGGGATGGGGTCGGGTAGTGGCACTGATTGCGACTGATCGTTCTTCAGGTTGCACCTGAAAGCACAATCCGCAATTCTAATTCGGAATGGGTCGGTGTGTTTACACTGCTGACGATGCTCGAAACTTGAGCCCAGTGTTTCGCGAGTGTACAGCTGACTGAATGAACCAAGGGTTGTGTGAAACGATAAAGCATGAACAGTGACCGGCCCAGTAAAACATAATCCCATGGAACCAGTTTTACAATCAGTTGCACCCGGAAATAAAATAGCTACAACTCGTTTTGATTCCGTTTTGGTTTGAACAAAACGTTCACCAGCTGAGTTCAACTAGAATGACCGTTTCATTAGTTCTTCCGAGGAAATACATTCAAGTAGTGTAAGTTCCAGAGTTAATATCCCACATATTTCTGATGATACACAAAGAGAAACAAAAATCAGTTGCCTAGAATTACAACCTATTGTCAATTAGCGTAAATAAACGGCTTAAATTTGCGCCATGGAAATGGATATTCAGCTGCTGCATAATCATTCTTCTGTAGTCAAAAAACAGAAGATGGAGACAAGAAGCATGATGAAACACTGTATACATAAAAGATTAAGAAAAGTTCGATCAAGGATTTTCAATTAGGAAGTTTACGTTAGTAGAAAACAGTGCAAAACACATTATTGCAGAAAACAAGCATGTTGTATGGCATGCCGCTATAGATTTATACTTGGAGCGAATGGTAGATGTACAGATACATTTACTAAGATGAGAGTAAAGAGGATGAGATGGGTCTAGCAGTATCCTAGCAGAAAGTTGCCGTCAAAAATTAAAGTTCTGTGAAATTAAAAACTGCAGTGTGTTTGTGTGTATTGTGTACGTGTAAAAGTTTTGCAAGCACTATAGCTCACACTTCAGTAAAAAAAAAATTCATACACGCCAACCGTCACAAAGTACATAATCAACGGGGAAAGGTTTTTTACCAGATATGGGATATTTCTTAATCCAAGATTAAGACAAAGTCCACTTACTGCCGTCTCGTCGTTTGTGAGTAAACAAGTAAGATACGGCATAGGTAAATAGCGGTAAGCGCTGATTATAAATGAAATTTGGTGAAACTGGAAGGGTGTAGAATGATGGGAACGACTTGTCAGTTCTGCGTGCAATGGGTAGTCAGGATCTGTGAAGATCCTCTCCGCAAATTTCACACAGGAAGTTATGTGATATTCTGAAAACTTCACAGCTAACTCATTCACAGGAATAGAAGAGAAGCGGATAATAATAATTAGACCGTGGCGTAAGACTCTGAAATCCTGTTTGAGTAAGCAAAGAAAAATAACTGGGAAAAACATACTGATAAACTAATGTAGAAATAACTGACTGGGATGCACGAAACTGCCTGAGCTTTCGTATGTGAAATGTTAGGCGCGGAAGTTTACCAATGCAGCTGTGGATGTGGGTTGATCAATGAAGATTGCTATCTATAGTTACACCAAGATATTTGACAGAGTTCAGCCTCGATAAAGGATTATTATTAATCACTGTATAATCCATCGGATATGGGGAGTGAGCAAAACACTCAACACATTTACTGGGGTTCAGGGTTAGCTCCGATCAGGAGGAGAATGACTGAATTTGATCAAGATTGTCGGTGAAGATCAGAGTAAGAAGAAATGTGTGGGTACAGCACGATGTCATCTGCACATTTCAAAATATGTGCTGAAGAAACACAAGGAATATCACAACTATAAGTTGTAAATAAGCTTGAGAATCGCACAGCTCCTTGAAGAACTTGACTAATGGTTTATATGAAGCCTTCCCTAATCTCGTGGTTTGTACTCTATCGGTAAAATAGTTGGATAACCAAGCTAACAACTGCTGGGGGTATTCAAACGATTCCAGTTTTTGTAACAACTTAGATCGAGGAATAGAATCAAATGCAGAAGAGTAGTCCAGAAAAAACGCCGAATAGACTTAACAGATTTTGAATAAAGAAGCCAAAAACAGGTTTGCACAATGTATCCTGGATCATTTCGCTGCATCTGTACACGTGCATACTGCAAACTTAACAGAGTTGTTCAAAGACTTCGGGATAAAATGGATAAGGATGGAGATGGCTTCTAAGGTGGATCTATTAGGGTTGTAAGCAAACTATAAAGTATCACTGGGAATGTTTATAGACTGTTGAAGGCGTTTGAGGATAGCTTTTTCAGTCAATTTAAGAGCTGAAGATGTTAACGTTATTCGACGAAAACGTTTGGAGAGGATAGAATGTTTGGATGTTTTGGGGATTTTTATGATTGTGACCGGCCTCCAACAGTCGGGATAGTAGAAGTGTTAAGAGATTGATTTACAATGGAGGTGACTGCCCCAGCTAGGTAAGCAGCACCATATATGGAGACGGCTGGAGGTAAATTGTCCGGGCCAAAGGCAGAAGACGAGTTGCAACTGCTTAAAATTTTTAACACAGCACAATATGAGAATGGTTCTGCATTACAAACATTATGTGACCAGTAGGCAGGACTAATTTCCGATGACTGGAGCAGGACTGCGGCATTGAAATCATCAACATCTACATCCAATTTCGACCGTACTTTCATCCTTCCTCGGAGAAGTCCTATACCTTACCACAGGTGTTTGCTACTTACAGTCGTCAGAATGCGATCGGAGAATAGTGCGATCAATCTATTTACTTCAGCTTTGATAAGCGGGGACCAATACCTGCCAGCTGAAGCATTGTGAGACTTGTATGCACGTTCCTTTTGTCGTCGCAGCGACTTTAGTAGGGGAAAGTTTATCCTTCCGTTGGACACAGATAGGCTTTCAATAGGGCAGCAGTAATGATAAACGGTACTGATTGTTTGGGTGAATAGGGGGACACACGTGAACAGAGAAAAATGAGATGATGAAAACCATAAAGAGGAATGCCTGAGAGATTCATTGAGGAGAGAAACTCCTGTAGATGAGAAGTTACGGAAACGAAATCTGAAGTGGTAAGATATTCCATCGTGTCCATAGATCTACCGAATGTCTGAAGTCTTCGATAAGAAGACCGGAAAAGGTAACTAAGGATTCCTATATCCAGTGTAGCATAATAGCATTTTCTAATGAAGAATGCGAAAATGGAGTTTCCGCACTTTGTGAAATACCTTGGCGACCAAGGAAGATCCCGATAAATAGTTATTCCGAAGTATTTGACTGGGAACTTTCTGGAAACTTGTTCTCCATTGATAACGATAAGCTAGCTGGTCTTCACTTCATCAGTGTATTGTTCGCCCTTCATCAAAGGAGGGGAGCAGGAAGGAATTCATACGAAAGTTGACATGTGACAAGTCAGGGAGCAATGAAACGTTATACATGAGTTTGGGGTACATGTAGAAAGTTGAAAAAATCACGACATACCCAACAGCATTCGTATATTTTTTAAGCAAACAATCATCAGAAAACAGGTGTGGAAGAAATGTAGGTGGAAAATAGGAAAGAAGAGAAAGCAGCAGCTTATGGGATTCCTTCAGTGAAAAATACTATGTAAATTCTAGGCGATGAGTAAAGTAGTTGCATAATAGACTGATTACAGGCTGCTGAATGCCCTTCTCGGAGAGAGATAGTACGAAGAAAATTTGTCCGATCGATACATTTCTGGACGTCAACTTAGTCAAAAAAGTTGAAGAGCTCTTCATGTACGGTTCAGAGAAGAAGAAACACAGTGAATGAAGGACTTTAATGCATCGAGGGTTGACCGGATGATCCGATAGACAAATTGAGTGGGATCACGTGCATCTAGCCAGGAGGGCATCTTCTGCAATAAAACATTTTTTATAAACATTCAGATCAACAGACATGCAAGCAATGGAGGGAAATGTAGATGTTCCCTTCCTGGATACTAGCGTGTTTGAAATCGCTCTCAAGCAACCTGAAATACAAAGCTGAGTGAACCATAGGTTGAGCAGCTCGGTAAAACAGGGTAGACAGACATTGAATATTCTCTGAGCACAACCGAGGAGAGTTTGTCTGGAATTCATGTTTATTTGAATTCAGAGTGATGAAGGTTTGATAACTTCCGTTTGGCAAGGAGATCTATCTCTTTTGACGTCGGTGTGTTAGCACATCTGGGGAAAAATGTGATTCAGCAACAGCACCGTCACAAGTCAGACAAACTATGTGTTGTACTTACGACTGAGATGGGTGATCAAAACTTGTGAGCCTTCATCGTGCGTCACCCCGGCCAAAATTGGAACTGGGTCAAAACGTCCCTGTTTCCGTTCTTCCAATGGGATTCGGGGCAAAAATCCAGCTGTACCATCCACAACCGGTGTCCAGATGAAGTACGGTGCTCCGTTAAGAGGAGTGGGGCTGCAATACGTAAGCAAAGACAAACAGACAAAAGATAAATGAATTTACTCGGTTGTTGTAAGTTAAGATGAAGTGAAACGCTGATGTGATCGTGTTTTTATTACACATCTTTGCTCCATAGACATTAGAAGGGATGAACCCATTGGCCAGGGGGTTTGGTGATCAGGGATGGGAACCCATAACCTTGGTTCTCAGGCTCAAAACCCGAGTTATATAAGGAGCCGGTAAAAGAAAACGTTTGATACGGTGAAAAGCGAGTTTCCATAGGGCGGAACTGTTCAGTTCAGTCAAATCCTAGCTTTGCAGCAAGAATACTTGATTTGGCTGATATTCGCGAGGAAGTAAAAAGTTAGAAGTCAATGAAAACAACAAAACCAGTTGAATGACCAGAATAATCACAAATTTCACCACAAATTCAATCACATCCTCCGTAGTCATCTGATCCCGTAAGTTACAACCAAAACGTTACGTGGATTTTGACCATGAGGTTTCAGTCACTCTCACCAGTGTGCTTCAGGCCCCATGGTTTGTGATTCCAACCCAGCCACCGCCATCCAGCTTTGTTGTCGTCCGGTTCAACGCCGCGACTCACAGAGTAGTGGATCGCCAATCCGGGGCTTAGGCCATTAGTTTCTGTGATAGAATAGTCGGTTTTCGTGACAAAGGGGTTTAGCCTGACCGCTATTCATCACACAAAGATGTGGAATAAAACAGTTCACAAGCCCACACCTCTAATAATCAAACTTGTCACCCCTATTCAAGAATTCATTAGTCTGCACTTTCAAATCTATTTTCAATGTCGATATCTTCATGCAGTGCGTATGAATATGGAATCCGTGCGTGTGGGGGGGGGGCCTATCTAGACCAGTGAAACATATGAAGATTGGACAGCTGAATGATCAACCGATTTCGACCAACGCAACTCCTTCTTCTACTGGTAGTGATGTTGCATTCGCAGAACGCGCTCACAAATTTACCAAGACACGTTGTTGCACGTATCCTTGATGCAGCAACCGTACGACCAGAGTGATCAGATTGTAACATGATGCAATGGAGTTTTAACGACACAACGATTGCAACACGGATACCACAGATTGTGAAAATTGGTCACCATTAAATGATCTCTTAAATTAGGTCAGAGAAATTCAATATGTAATCGATCTGGAAAAGGGAATCGAAAACACTGATCTGTCTTTTATACCTGTTCACTGAACTTTCAAGACGTCAGAAGGGAGAAGTCGGGGTTAAAAATTGAAAGCAGATGTTCAGTGCTTTTTAACTTTTCACTCCATGCTTCATTTGCTCCGCACACGACAAAATCCTCCAGATAGTCGATTCAAATCCTTTACTCCTTGCATATAACAAGTAGTGAGGTTGTAATGTTTCTGACCTAGTCCAACCCTGGAGACAAGTGCCGAAACGAGCGAGGTGTGATGTCTGCATTAAGCCCATTAAGATGTGCTGTGATATATCGTGTATATTTAGAATAGAAAACGATTTGATCAGCTGCCCAGTAGTGAACTGGGTAGTTCATGTGAGGTTCAGGATTCGATCTCCATTGGGTTCGATGGATTCACACCGTAGATGAGACCCGACCCGGTCGAAACAGCTATCCAATGCTTCCTAGCTTTTCATTTCAAGTTTCACTTAAAAATCAGTTTTCAAAAGCGAACGTTCCAAAAAACTAATTTATTAACATCACCACCGTCACTTGATCCCTCGGGTGGTAGATGATCAAATAAACTGAACTAGTTTCCAACAGTCACGGTTTCCACATTTTTAACAAAGGCAACTGAAGCATTAACACACTATAAGGGATTCGTTATTAACACACCCGTCCTCAACTCCATCTGCTAGTTGCTTTCGGCGTTAACTCTACGTCATCCGATTTTCACTCGGAATTTTACTTATTCACTAAGTTTTATTACATTTTGCTCTAATAATTGCTGTAGATCGATATAAATATCAGTCTAACGCGACTTCCATCGCTTTACAGATCGAAGATCCGCGAACATTAAACGAAAGAATTCAGTTTGATGAGAAATATCAATTTCAATAACTTCTTCCCAAGGGTTAATACACCTAAACATAGAGTTTAAGATTATCAAATTACTGTAATGTTCTGATGTGATGAATATGATCAGTTGGTTGTGATGTTATTATGACTGCACAATTTTTTGAAGATCGGTTCTCAGTCCACTGACGATATCACCTGGACTGGTGACGTAAGTTTTGCAAGCAACTTGCCAAACTCAGCGAACAGTCGAAATGGAGTTGTTATAAGTGGTTTGGAAACGACAGGGTCGAGTTTGTTGTTGTTGCTGTTGTTGTTCTTGTGTGATTTGGAAACATTTGGACTCGATGGATTGAGTGAGCTCTTCCGACTCCGGTCTGTGTCGACTGAGTCGGGTCGGGTAAGAGAATCGACTGAACAAATCGCTTTTGAGAACAAAGGGACCAATTGAGTGGGTGAATAACCTCCGCTTTCACTGGAGCAAAGTGCCGTCGACAAAATGTTTTGATGGGGTTGCTAGTACTTTATTGATCACCTTAAATGCATCCTCGTCTGCTTGATGGCCCATGTCTGCAAGACAGTTCACCATTGCGTTTGTAATCGTTTTCCTTGAACCCTTACTCAACCTGGTCGGCTTGGGCTCCTTGGTTCTTTGTGCTAGTTGTATGATCGTTCATCCCAATTAACTTGCTGAACACAAAGAAAGTGGTATATTATCATAGATGAGGTGAGTATATGCAATTTATATTGAGCACTTACGGAGACGATCCATCGGTTTGTGAATCGGCTGCGTGGTGTTCCAGCGGGAAAGTACTAGCAATGGCCGTTTCTAATCGGTTTATTAAAATCTCACAATTATAATCTACTTCAAAAGGAAATTTAATGAAGAGCTATTTCGTTTTCACTGTTGCCAGTGGTGTTCTTGGAGGATGTTCTGTCACATCCAGAACAACTCGTTCCGGATAAGCATTTTCAAGGTACGTTTCTTTTATATTCCGCAGTTCCTCGGGTACACTGTCTTTTGAACGAATTCTCTTTGCTAGATACGCAAGGGTTTGAACTGAGTTTCTCCCAATTTTTCCAGGTATAAAACTGAAAAACTGAGAGAGAGAAGGAGTACCATCCTGCTCATATTCTTTTACGGTAAACGGCGTTATTACCGCGCGTCTGTAGCATCTTGCGATTTTTACATCCAGGAAGTGAAAATTATCTTCCAGTTCCATTTTGAACGTAAAACTGGTTGCGGTGTGGGCAATACTGGGGGTATTTAAAAGCGTCTCTATAAGCTTTTGCTTTTCGACCGAGGTGAATATATCAGCCGCATACCGGCAGTTCAAATGGTAGGCTTCTTAGTTCAGTGACGTTGGTTCAGCATCAAAGTAATCAAAGTAGGCACCACATATTGATTCTCGCCTGTTGGCCGAGTTTGGCAATTTGTTTGCAAACGTTTCATCACCAGCTCGAAGTCACATCTTTAGTGTGCTCTGCATGTACCCGTTCGCTTATATGTGTTCTTCAGCAACTATTTTGTCCTTTGTTTTCACTGTGTTTAGCTCTTTTCGCTGTTGAACTCGTGCGATCGGAGAGAAGTTGTTCTCCCTTCTGAATTGCGATTTTTGGTCCGTTCTCGGGTGACGGCGTGACCTTCCGTTACGACATTGAATCCTTGAATTGCATTGATATGTACACGTTAGCCAGTTCGATGTGTCCGCTGACTGAGTTGACTGAAGCGTACCAAGTCTCGATAAATCCTCTGTGTTTTGACAGGGCTCAATTGATGATTCCCGCTGATTCGAAGTTGTGTTTGTCTTTGACTTTCGTGGATGAAAATCAACGATAGTAACCATACCCTTTGACTAATCATTAACGTTCACGGATCCTTGTTGATCGTTTTCTATCAATTTATCCGATATACTGTTTTGGGCACCACAGTCATCACGTATGCCTAAGTGAATCTGTGAATCACTTCAAAACTCAATGAAAACAATTGTTGTTCTAAGTATACGCGTATCATTAGGAAAAATTGGATATTTACTGAACTTCGCGGTGCACGGGACATCCAGACCCCCTCGTGAGACAGTGTTCCGGTTTCTATTCCAACCCAAACCTTTCAAGATGAACCTGGAGGCTCGATCATATGGGAGTAATGGTGGTCTACTTTACTTTGGCATATACTAATCTTAGCAGATATGATGCCAACTTAACCATCGGCTGAAAGAACATTATACGAGCATAGTAAAAACAAAACGCCTTCACAAAATTGCTGAGGTTTTTTATGTAGTCCACAATTAAGTGTGATTAATAGAAGAAGCAGTTTGATTATGCAAAATCGAGTCTATTAATAACGTTGCATGTTCTTTCTACTCCTGAACCATTTTGTGCAAAATATGTCATTTTCTAAATTTGACTGAAAAATTTCACTGAACGGTGGTGTTGTAAAATTTATTCCAGGATCGATTTCACCTTATCTCCGCAGATCACATGAAAAAGGATATAATTTAAACAACAGTCATGTTGCGAGTAAAATTTCCATACATTCCGTGTTTTATAACAAGCTAAGGCCAAGGAGGTCAATAATTCTTTCTCTTTACATAGGCTAGATCTCACCGTTGCGTCGCTATTGGTCCAATGAACTCTAACACTGGGCAAATCGGGGTGGAGAGACTCACAGATGATCTCTCAGACCAATGCTTTACTGCAAGTGACGTCGGATAGAAACACCTATCACACTAAGTGACCTTGACTGTGTGATTCTGATTGGCTGTTGTGAATGCGTTCAATTACTACTTTGTCCAAGTACATTCTCATCCATCTGCTTGACGTTTCTGTCCCTCTTATCAGTTGGTAAGTATAATAGAATCCATTCTTTCTCTTTCTGTTCTACATCCCTGACTGGCTTTATTACGTCTAACTACTCAAAATCCTGCTACCACGTTTTATTTTCGACGATGGTAAGCTACATCTACNCTACCCCCCCCCCCATCATTCGGTACACAAAACTCGTCGAGAACAGAATGAATACGATGAAAATCAAACACTCGGAAAACCGTTATTTCAAAAATCCTATGGTTCTTCATGGCAATCCAGAACCAGATCTGGTCAATCTAATCAAAACCTTGCAAGTATTACTAATTTGCAACTCGTTCGCACGGTAGGTTGTGTGGTTATCGAGTTCGCTGCATATGAAAGACGATCAATACCAAAAGCTCAAGTCATCAGCCATAGATCGACACCTTCTAATGACGTAAAACTAGATCGACCGAAGTGTGGTATTTCGGAAAGTCTACATGTCACGAATCGCAAGATTGCTAAGGTTTGCCGAAGCGATTGCTTTCAATGGACAGCAGCCCTCCCCCTGTGTTCATAAAGAGGTATTTTTATTTTACCTTATCTTTACCCCGGTAAACTGGTCCTCGTTTTACCCCTCCATCTTTTGTTTTATTTTGATTCACTTGTTGCCATGCTAAAGCCCTCTATAAGCGTTCAGCTTTCTGTGATATGCACCACGTCTAGATGCAGCAAAATCGTCCTGGATGTATATCGTTCACTATTGCGACAAGGACGTATCTTTGGAAAAAGGACCCCCTCAAACCCAAACACGAGAAACCAATCATACATATATAAGGCAGTTAGAACTTACTATGAAAAGTCCAGAATCTCTTTTGCTGTTTTCTGATACCGTAGGCATCGCATCAACGCTGGTGCATCAATACGCGCTGAATAGGGCACGAACAGTCGTGGTTTGACAGACCCGTTTCCGAACTGACCTTCTCGTACTTCAGAAGGGGGCGGAGGAACCCATGTTTGTCCACGCATTGCAGCTTGAGCTGCGGCCACCTGTTCCCCCTGCACGGACGGACAACCTAGCGCTCGACCCAGCTCAATGGCATAATATCGGCTACGCACACGATCCGGCTCGGTGACAGCCCAACCGGATAGGTCCGATCCGGAGATCATAATTACCTGGTGAAACAGGTCTGGATTTCAAATTAGAAAATAGTAAATAACAAACAGAAAGAATTTTTGAATGAACATGTAATTGCTTTTGTCAAACGGAAGTGCAGATCAATAAAAAAAATGTTCAAATTTGCTACTGAATGTCCAGAAATTAGCCATTTAGGTTGGTTGGTAAAAGGTTACCATCGCAATAATCACCAATGAAACCACAAATTGAAAGACGCCGGAAGAACGTTCTAAAAAGAAATTATTATATGAGAAGGTGGGCCAAATGAACAGAGCAGAAACGATTTGGTGCTTTCTATTGGTGAGCAGTTGTTCGGCTTAATGTATTATACAACAAACCGTATTTTTCGCCTCATTTTTTAATTGCTAAATACTAAAGAAAGCACTGGTTAAGTTTCAAAATAACTACTAAATACTGGGCTTTACTGATGCAGATGACACCAAAGACACCGTATCGCTATCGAGCAAAGTAAAATAAATCATGTCCAACGATCACAGACAACCACCACAATTCAAACTTAATCACAGTAAATAATAACACCAAAGCATGATGAATTCACTCCAAAATATCCAGTTTAAATTGAACTGTTGAACTGATTGCAAATGAATGCTCCGCTTTGGCGGTGATATTTTGAACCGATTCCAAAACCGTGCAAAACTGTGGGAAGGTGGGAGGAATGCTTGATCACTTCATCAAACAACATGCTCAGTAATTCAACACTTATCACAACGGGCCATTATTGCAAATACGTGCACCAAGGATTTGATCACTGTCAAAGTGACGACTGTCCACAGCGAATGACCGAGTAAGTGAAACCAACCTGCGTAACCCGGTTGTGTTTGTTGTTGGTGCTGTTGCTGTTGTGGTGGTGGGACTGCGGCATTGAGTATTTATTACCATACTGAAACATCTACACAGTACCTCGAAGGTCTGTCAACGATTTATGAGACAAGGGGATGCTGAATCGTTTTAGGCAAAAATATTTTAAACCCCTGAAGACTATGCAACATAAACGAAAAAGGTTTTAGTCCGCTTTAACCATTACTCCTAAGATAACTCATCGCTACTATTGTCTAAGCGAGATATTTGATTAACAGTAATCACTTAAGGAAGCAAAACTGGGATGCATTATTAAAAAATTACACACTGAGTTTTCTCATCCAAAACGTCAACTGCGCTGTCGAAAAATATTAAAAGAATTACCAAATAGAATGTTCAATGAAAAACAATCACTCATTTTGAGTCGAAAGAACAAATTAATGTTCTCACAGTAATAAAATTATAATTAAGTTAAAATTGTGATCAAATTATTTGCATGATTGTGGTAAAAGCATAGGAAGTCATGACAATGGAACCATCAAGCTGTCCACAGATCTAGAAAGCTATTTTTATCGAACCATTTCGAGATTGGAGTTCAAAAAATCAGCCATTTTTATAACCAAACAACCGTTTGTATTATTACAGTTGCTATCCAGCATGTCCCGATTTGTTTGGAAAGTGAGAAACTAACGAGATAATTATTGTCTCCGAGACTATCACAATTTGAAACCTACCATAAGCGATTTTTCCAATTTTTGGGCCGTACTTTTAAACTGACCATCAACGAGGTTGTAATCAATCAACATGTGGTGTTGTTTTTGATTTGAATAAAAGCAACCCGCGTATAACAAGGAGTTGGCGAAAATAACACTATTGGGAATCTATGTAGCTTAGATAAAAACGAATCAGCTCACCTTGGCCACGACTTGCCGGCGACACAGTGTGTAGTCCAACACTTGCGGCCCCGGCACTTTCCCCCATGAGCGTGATTCGGTTGGGGTCTCCACGAAACCACTCGATATTCTCTTTCACCCACCGAATAGCTAACAACTGGTCCCACAATCCGTAATTGCCCATAGAAGCTTCATCGCCGGTGGACAGAAAACCTTTGTTTAAAAAGAAAACAGAATGCTCATTGGTGAGGGTTTGAAGTCCCGATTCGACTGTTCGCAGTTCGAGTCATGACAGGGATTCAAAAAGTACGCACTGATGACGAGTCCCAGCTAGGCGAAACAGATGTCCAGTGCTCTTTGTCGGTTATCACAAACATTTCCATCGCATTAAGATGCTATGAAGTTCGTTCACGTTACATTGAGAGTGAGGCACAAATTTCAGAGAGGGTTTCACAGAATCAGAATTGTAATAGAAAAATTGAGTATTTTAGAGACCGAGTAAAACAATGTAGTTTGTGTGAAACGAACAATATGCACTGAAGGAAACTGTGAATTCACTAAATTCCTGTGCGACTGACGAACTTCTAAACCGGTTAACGCAGTGAAGCGGAATTATGAGGTATCTCAAGAAAAAAAATAAATGCCGAAAAACCCCGTTTTTATTACAAATCAGTGTGCGATGAACAGCAAACGGGGCGAACCCCATAGTCACGAAGACCTGCTGTTCTTTGCTGAAAACCAGCAAGCTAAGCCCCAGGGCTTGGAGTGGTGAACCACATAAGGCCCCGCTAGGTTAGGCGTGGTATAGAACCGCGAGACAGCACATCTGCCTACGATCAAAGTTGGGTGGCAGTGGCGGGGCTCAAACCTCGGACCACAGGGTCCAAAGCACGCCTGTAAAAGCGACTAAAGCACTGCGCCACCACCACGAAAAAGTATGCCCTTAAGCATAGTCTGCACAACTACAATCCATGCTGTTTTTGAAGGGTATTGATACAGTTATTTATTTATTAAACGTAACTAAAATTTCCTCTCAAATAGAAGAACGATTCGTCAGTTCCTTGCTTTTCAAGGGTCATTTTGAGGTAAATTTTTCAAATTAAAAAACCGGATAGTAACAGTAATTTCAGCAATGCATTTTGTATTGTTAAACTCTACCTTCAAAGCTATCAAACGTGTGCTTTTCACTATTACGGAGTGCTTTACAGTCGACCGGCGTGGATCAGTTAAAAAACAAGTGTTAGAAAACCATTCAAACGAATTTTGTTTGGATAAGCTGAATGTGTGTAATTCACGTGATCCGGAAAACATTCAAACCTATAAGGCATCGGTGGTTAACGAGACTAAAAACATATGATCAACCATTACTGCAAAAGCTAAATTATGTAACCGCATAGCTGAAGAGAAATTATCATCTTCAATTATCAATTCTCATTTACAAATACAGTATCAATTATGTAATTATTTTATGTTTGATTATTCTTCAGTGAGTCTTGTAACGCAATTTTGCCTGAAAACTTTCCAAAGCATTTTCACAATGACAGGAGTGTTTTGGATGAATTCACATAAAAATTAACGCAATACCTTGCGTACTCAAATATTAGTGGTTTTTTCCAGATATTCATTCGGTTTGCAATCACGAGGGCCTGAATGAATGTTTCAGTGAAGTGGAAATTGGCATTAAGCCATGTTCACCGATGAGTTAAACTATTTTAAGTCTGGAAAATGGTTGGTTTGATTATTTTGTAACGTTTTATAAGTGACGTTTCTGGTTCATTGTTGATCACCTTTTTCCTCAGAGGGCAACAGAATCACAAACACAGGAGTTCGTGGAATGGCGGTTATGGATAAATAACACACAGAATAGCGTACCCTTGTTTATTTCAATCCAAATCATTGTCCAAGACGCAAGCTAGTTTGTCATTTTGTTTTTTCTATAGTTTGTTTTGTGAAGCAGGTTAATTTACTCATACTTTTAATAATCCTCCGGTTGGACAAAATCTTACTCGTAAGAAGGTGCTAAATCCGGACACAACTGTCATAAAGCAATATACATCATGCTTTGACGACAAAAAAAGGTCTTATAATATTTTAAGTGACATTCGGAATAAATGATTTATGATTCGTGATGGAAAGTACTCACCAAAAGGCCCTAAACGATAGTTTAGAGAGACGAAGACAACACCTTTGGAGGCCAAGACGTGTCCCGGATAAGCATGATTCGATCCACACACGTAGCTCCCTCCGTGGATATGAATAATCACTGGATATCGGATATTCGGATTCTCGTGTGTTTGCTGTATAAACAGAAGACATGTAAACGAGCAAGCACTTTGAAAGATAAACGAAATCAATGTAGCAAGATCTGATGTGGGAAACAGAATAGACTTTATGTAATTGCATTAAAATGATCAGTGTAGGTGTAAAACTGCAAAACGTGTGTAAGAAGAATTAAAAATTTAAGCTGATTTATCGATAATTGAAAAGGTATGAAGTTGAAAAAATAGATAAAATCGGCAGTCGACCAGCTCCATATTTGTAAGTGAAAGGACCTGTAAATCTTTAGTCGGAATATATTACAGGGTGGGGCTTACCCGTAGGCCCTGTTTCCTAAAAGGATTCCTTTTGCAAAAAATAAATGAAGTCTAATCGGAAACCAGCGAAACACCTGACAGATAATTGAACTTTACTGATTGCCGCCACGCTCGTCATGTACACAAATTAAGTAAAAATCTATAGGATAGACAGGCGTCGGGCTTAAGTGATGGGAAACATTGAAGGCGAACTTCTATAGTCAAAAAATAGACTACAGAAACTAACTGTGCAGACATATATTTTGAAGCATTCTGATTCGGCAAAAAGTGACGAGAACACCATTGCTGTCGGTCAGCTGCTATATCCTTCAATCCCCAATCAGCCAGTTTTAGAGTTCTGTGGATCTTATCGTGAGACGCGTGAGATAACTCTACCTAACTGCTTTTTAGACTTCTTCAAGCCCCGTTTACAGGTCATCGGTTGAATTTCAAGCAATTTCATCCAACCTGAAGCGAAAACAACAAATAAAGAACACTGCGGAAGAAGACAGCTGAGCACGCTTAATACGTGTCCTAACCAGCGAAACCAACTTATATGAACTTGATTTGATAACGGATTGTCCATCGCATCCTCACCGAATACTCGACGACTTACCTTGGGGTAACTTAAACGGTCACACTATCCAACTCGCATCAAACTACCTAAACTTTGACACTCAAGGGCTCCTAGACGGCAAATAGCTTCCATGCGCTTCAGGATATCTCGACCATAAAGGAAAACTAACCAAGCAGTTTTGCAGTATAGGCAATCCTTCAGTTCCAGGAAAACATCAAGGTAGAGCCAAGACTGCATCAGTCCTGAGTAAACTGCTCGTGTCTTGGAAACTTGAGCGATTACTTCCTTAACTAAGCTACCGACAATTTTCACACAGGCTAACAGAAGACACAATACAGTATAACTAAATAATTCTTGACTATCAAACATTAGAGCCGGTGTAGACGACACAATATTGTAGCATCGATTTGCACTTTAGAGCTGCGAAACGTATGCCAGATGGAGTAACAAAATTTATAATTCTTCTAAGAATTTGAAATACAATCATTGACCCAGGAAATACAAGCAGAAAACTATAGATTAATATATTATTGTATTCACCAAATTCATCAGCAGGCTATGTGAACTTTTTCCAACGTTCATTATCTCAATTAATAGAAAATGAATGGGGCAAGAAGAGTTGGTACTAAATTTGCTTCTCATAAAATTGGCTGCTATTCACTCTAGTCTGTTCCGATGCAACCCACCCAAAGGAATAACCAAAAAAACAGTAACTCAAGCCAGCACACTAAAGTAAACGATCAGTGATTGTATAAACTAATGTAAATAGTTTTGAACAATCTTTAACAATATTTTTACTTATACTTGTCTGGGTCGTTTGATATGATAAGAATTTGCTTGAGAAACCATATTATTCATCTTTATAGCTTCCATTGAACTAAAGGGTTAGATTGGTTAACTAGGCAAATAAGCATTCAGTGTGAGACGAAAATAGTGACTACAATCGATTTTCCTCTTTATTATACTTTTGCCAAATTTTTGATTGATTCGTGGCCGCCGATGCATGCATACATAAGAATGGTTAAGGGATAACCATGACACTGATACCATAATGAGTGAAACGAGAGCTAATGCAAGCAGCACAGTAAACTGAAGGCAATGCACCGTTTTACCTTTGCAATGATACCACCACATATTCCAAACAGCAAGGAAAAATTAGTGAGGCAAAGTTGATTCTAGTAAAATGAGAATATCTCCTAAAGCGTATTTAAAGCAGGGTTACATTTTGCTAATCAACGAAATCTCTGGAGCAAAAGCAATTTATCCATTCCGTTGAAAGAGCAGGTATATGACACACTAGAACCTTCCATTTTGCCTGTTCGCCGAGCTGGGCAATTTGCTTGCAAACGTTTCATCACCAGCCGAGGTGACATCATCAATGCTTGTGACGTGGCAGTGTTCTGGCTGTACAAGAACCTATTGTTTCTACAGGACTGGGAATATTGGCCTGGCCGAGTAAAGAAACTATTATCAGTTTTCGGGAATCGATATATACAGAGCGTCTTAAAACAGATAGAATCCCTGAAATAGACAGAATGTTAAGCCATTCTCTGAACACAGGCTGGGTTGCGGACAATTGGAAGCACGCTACAACTGTTCCAATCTTCAAGGGAGGTAATCAACGGGATTCGTTCAACTACTGACCCGTCAGTCTCACCAGCATCGTTGCTGAGCTTCTGGAGAGCATTCTATGGGAATAGGTAAGTTGGTACCTTCTTCGAGTCGGGTTCTTTTGCAACAACAAACACGGGTTCACCAAAAGCGTATCCCGTCTCACAATTGATATGTTGCCTGGACGTATTATCAAAGAAATCAGATAAAGGGATGGAAGTCATAGCTTCGGTTGCCCGCGCTTCAGAGATCATAATTATATCCAAACAATCCAATGAAATGTTTGTATACCAAATTTGTGTTTGTGGACCTCAAATAACTTGTCATTGGAAAAGTTCATTTTCAGCATTTTACAATCCTGAAGAATGACGCATTAACAGAATCCATGATGTTGATGGAATATTTTTTAGTTCCTGTAATATC